TAAATTTTAACAATTAAAAATAAAAAGATAAATAATCAAAATTTTATATAAATATAACACGTAAAATTTATATATAAATAAATCCCTACTCTTTGTGTGTAATAATTTTTTTATGAACATTTTTTATAATTAATATTTTGACTAATTTGATTATAAATGCTAATTTTAGCTTACTTAAATTACATAAATACAAGGACCATAGATACAAGTTATCTATAGACGAAGATGTTTTTTTACCTTTTTTTTTATTTTTTTATTTTTATTTTAAATTATACAATAAAAAATAATTATTTTTTATTTTTAATTTATCTAATCATTTATACATCATATAATTTAAATTCATAATTTTTTAATTTTTTTATAAAAAAATATTATTATTAAATTATTTAAATTATATGTATAAGTGAAGATGTTTCGTTTCCACTAATACCTAATTAAATTATATACATATACTCCTAAATAATTCATCTTTTCAATTAAACATGATTAAAAATCAAAGATAAGATTGGGTATTATTAAAGATGTGCCGATATGAAATCATGTGCAAAACATGCATGACAGATTGTTGAAGGTCAGAGTACCAACGTGTGTGCCGGGTGCAACTTCCCTTCCCTGCTGCTCTAGTAATTTTTAATGTATATAGTACAAGCATGGCGGTGGTTATGACCAATTGACCATAGAATATATATTATAAAATTCCATTACGGGTACGAACAAATGAGATGGATTAATGGGGAATAACATGGAAAAAAAATGTGAAAAAGAAGTGAGATAAATGTGAATTTTATCTTATTAATATATTTTGATGTGGTAAGTCAACTCGAAATCGTTATGTAAAATCATTTTTTTTTTGACTTTTTAATCATTATTCATATTATAAATGTGTTCGATTATTTAATTTTATTAATTTATAATTAATTAAGGTGCTTACAATTCTTTATTATAGGCTGACTTTAAATTTTTAAGTCTCAAATATTAATTATTTTATTTGTTATTAATTAATAATTATACATATAAATTATTTTATCAATTATTTTTATTTTTAATAATCAAATTAAATACACTATAATATTTGTTTTGCCATAATCTTGTCCTAAGTGTGTAAAAAATGTGTGCCCGCTGCAGCATCTCCTTCGGCTGCTAGATATATATATATATATTTTAAATGTACGTTATATGCATGGAAAAAATGTACATAGTACTGATCAATTAAGTATAAAATTCTTATTTTATAATTTAAAATATAAAATAAAAATTATTAAATAAAAATTATTTTAATATTAAAATACCTACAATCAATTTAATAATTTTTATTATATAATTCAAATTACATAATAATTTTTACATTAAGTATGATACACAACTTAAAGAGAAACTTGAAATAAAAAGTTGACATTTGTGGTAGCAGAATTAATTCACAATTTCAAAAATTGTAGACTTATATCTGTCGCTCTCCGACAAATTGACCTAAATTAGTATGGGTAAAAATGCTTTATATTATAATTAATTTGAAATCGAATCAGGTATGACTTTATTAGAGGGAAAACTTTATCAACATTTAGTTTTTCATTTATAAAATTTGAACTCAAAATTTGATTTAAAATAGACGAATTTCTTCTACTCGAAGGATAAAAATACTTATTATATTCCATTTTAATATATTTTGACTTATCAATAAAAAAATAAATTGACCTAACCTTGTTGCCGCTACTAAATAATATTTAATATATTTAATATATTTAATATATTATCTTTAAGTTAATTTTTTTATATTTTGAAATTAAGCTTTAAAATAATTTTAAAAATACATTTTTATATTAATTTAATATATTTAAAAAAAATTTAAATATTAAACTTAAATTTAAACATTAAATATGATTTACAAAATAATACTAACTTCTCCCTTGCCGTAGTTTTAATTATTAACATTGAATATTATTATTATGCGAGCAGTGCTAGGGGCACTCGCTTTTTGCACTCTCCGGCGATCACTTCCCCTTTCATCGGGCCACGTAAGCTTCTTATATGCTTTCAAGCGCAACTTCTCGTAACCAAAATAACGTGGCCCAATAAAAGAGAAAGTGCTTGCCGGAGAGTGCAGGAGGCGAGTGCCCCTAGCATTGCTCTTATTATGCCATAGTTTACCGTATGTCAATGTCTGAAAATGTCAGGGTCCAAATAGTACGTTTGCCTACTTTTAAATTTCTAAGTCTATTTCCTAGTTGCAACACACAAAAAAAAAGTCTATTCTTTATCCAAAAAAAAAAAAAAAAAAGTCTATTTCCTAGTGCCACCAATTCTTTTCCGTGGCCTTCTACTGGTCAAGGAGAAAGGCGTTGCGTTCCAAGATGGGGAGAGAGACACGTTAGTTATGCCAGTTATGAAACATGTAGAGGTTTCAACTTTCAAGAGCATTCTCATGTTGTTTGCTTGTAAATTTTGACCCATGTGACCATGTCCTAAGCAACCTATTGTTGATGCTCTCTGTTGGATACATGTGGGGATGGCAATTTTTCCCCATTTTCGTGGGGTTTCGTGAGGATCCCGTTACGGGGATGGGACAGAGAGAAATATTCCTCTTTACGGGGTGGGAATGAGAAGCATTTTCTCGTCGTGAAATTTCATGAAAAATTTTTCCTGTTTTGTGGGACCCGCAAGAATTCCCGTCCCTACAAAAATTAAAACAAATATAAATTTATTTTATTTTAAATTTAATTTATTTTTCAAATTCAAATCCAAACTCAAGTTCAAACTCAATTCAATTAAAATTAAACTTAACTCAGTTTTACTTAACCCAACCCAACCCAACCCAATCCATAAAAATTAATCCAATTCATTTCCCTACTTACATTTAACTCTAACCTTAATTCATTTCTCAATTTTCATTTTCACCTTCCCCTCCATTGTTGGTTTAATTTTTGTTTATGTTTTAATTTAGCTTGGATTAATCTTTGTTTAT